GATGGATGGGTGATTGGATGTTTTGGTGGATGGATGAGTTTTGGATGGATGGATGGGTTGTTGGGTGGATGGATGAGTTATTGGATGGATGGATGGATGGATGGATGGATGAGTTATTGGATGGATGGATGGATGAGTTATTGGATGGATGGATGGATGGATGGATGGGTTATTGGATGGATGGATGGATGAGTTATTGGATGGATGGATGGATGAGTTATTGGGTGGATGGATGGATGGATGAGTTATTGGATGGATGAGTTATTGGATGGATGAGCTATTGGATGGATGGATGGATGGATGGATGAGCTATTGGATGGATGGATGGATGGATGAGCTATTGGATGGATGGATGGATGGATGAGCTATTGGATGGATGGATGGATGGATGGATGAGCTATTGGATGGATGGATGGATGGATGGATGAGTTATTGGATGGATGAGCTATTGGATGGATGGATGGATGGATGGATGGAGGAGCTATTGGATGGATGGATGAGTTATTAGATGGATGGATGAGTTATTGGGTGGATGGATGGATGAGCTATTGGATGGATGGATGGATGGATGAGTTATTGGACGGATGGATGAGTTATTGGATGGATGGATGAGTTATTGGATGGATGGATGGATGGATGGGATGGATGGATGGATGGATGGGTTATTGGGTGGATGGATGGATGAGTTATTGGATGGATGGATGGATGGGTTGTTGGATGGATGGATGAGTTATTGGATGGATGGATGAGTTATTGGATGGATGGATGGATGGGTTATTGGATGGATGGATGGATGGATGGATGAGTTATTGGATGGATGGATGGATGGATGAGTTATTGGATGGATGGATGGATGAGTTATTGGATGGATGGATGGATGGATGAGTTATTGGATGGATGGATGGATGGATGAGTTATTGGATGGATGGATGGATGAGTTATTGGATGGATGGATGGATGGATGGATGAGTTATTGGATGGATGGATGGATGGATGGGTTATCAAACGGATGGATAAATGACTTATTCGATGGATGGCATGGATACAGGGATAATTGGATGGACAGATGGATGAGTTATTGGATTAATACATGGATATACAGTTGGATGGATGTATGTATGTAAAGATGATTATCCCTCCCCCCCCCCAGGGTTCTCTCGGCTCCAGAGTAAGGATGTGCTCCCGGTGGTGGTGGTGAGTCTGGTTCCTCCGGTCCTGGTGGCCCTGGTCGCTGCCGCCGCCTTCTACTTCTACCGGACGCACCGGCCAGATAAACCCCGCCCGCCTCCTGCTCGCCCCGCATGGCCCACCAAGCGTACCCCCGATCTGTACCAGGCCTTCGGAGAGGGGGGGTGGAGGCTGAGGATGGGAACTGAAACAGGGGAGTCTATACAGATAAGATAAGATAGCATAAGATAAGTTAAGAAAATATAACATAAGATAACATAAGATAACATAAGAAGTACTATATTGATCCCAATTTGGGAAATATTTGCAGGCATTGTACATTAGAGAAATGAAAATACTTTTTTTCAATTTATTGGATGGATTAAGGATTTATTGGACGGATGGAGGGATGGATGATTGATGGGACAAATAAAGTTATTCTGACTCTACAGGTAAGGGTCATCCTCCCAACGACGACATGCTCTCCGATGTGACGGACTGGCGGGACCATCAACTGGAACCCCTGCCCATCAAACTGGAGGTGCTGGTGGGGAAGGGCAGGTTTGCGGAGGTGTGGAAGGCATGTCTTCTGGAGGGCCGGGTGGGCGGAGTTAACTGCTACGAGACGGTAGCGGTGAAGGTGTTTCCCGCCGTAGAGTTCGCCTCCTGGAGAAACGAGTGCTACATCTTCTCCGACCCGACGCTGCAGCACGATAACGTGGTTCGGTTCCTGGCGGCCGAAGAGAGGGGGCCGCCGGGACACAGGAAGTACTGGCTGGTGTTGGCCTATCACAGCATGGGGAACCTGCAGGACTTCCTGTCTGCTCACACTCTGAGCTGGGAGGAGCTGGTGTGCATGGCAGGAAGCATCGCCAGAGGGTTAGCTCACCTGCATAGCGACACCACGCCCAGCGGGGTGCCAAAGGTAAGATCACACCGGGGAACTCACAAGTTGGGAAGAAGGTGACATGTTTGTTTCTGGTACACTCTGAGAAGAAAATAAAGCCAGAAAGCAACATCAACTTCAGACAAATAAACTGCCTATGTGAAGCACTTTGTAATGCCTCTGTGTCTTAAAATGTGCGTTGAACTAACCTTCAACCATTCAACTTAGTAAGAACACTTTTTTTAAAAACAATGAAAGTAAAGGTGACATCTCCGATCCATTTTTGATCCAAAATAGAAATAACATCTGTTTTTGAACCCCCCCCAAGTCCACTAGATGGATTCAGTCTTAGATCACCCCAGAAGAGACGGTTCCGTAGTCTTTAAGTAATGTCTTTCTTTGCCCTTGGATGTGATGTTTCAAGTGTGCTGTTGCGAGCTAAATGGTGGGTTAAAGTTGCTTATTGACGGGGCTTGTTTGTTGTTGTTTGTGTTCCAGGTGCCGGTTGCCCACCGGGACCTGAAGAGCAGTAACCTGGTGGTGAAGAGCAGGAGGGAGTGCGCTCTGGTGGACTTCGGTCTGGCGCTGAGACTCGACCTCTCGCTCACCGTGGACGTCTTCGCCAACAGCGGACAGGTGAACGATACGATATACTTTATTGTCCCCGTAAGGACATTTGTTCTGGACTCCGTCCTGCAGTTCCGCATACATGTACATGTACAAACATAATAAACATTCAAATACATGCACATATCATGCTGACAATGGCGACCTATTGCACAACCCTCATGGCCAACATTTGAAAGTATATTACATTACATGTGAGCGTTAAGAAGCTCAATGGACAGAGGCAGGATTTAGTGCTTATCGCGGTTCAGCCTGATCTTGGGAACCGTGAATCTTCCACCGGACGGGAGGAGCTGGAGTTCTGGGTGGAGTATGTGGGGGGGGATCAGACACGTTGTGCCTGTCTGATAATGGACTGCTCATATGTGTTTTGAAGAGATGGATGTTTTTTGACCCCCATCATTTTCATAGCAGTCTGTTACTTCGACTGTCGAGTTACCACACCAGGCAGTGATACCATATCTTATGATGCTCTCAAACACTGCATGATAAAACAATAGCATGAACTTCTGCTCGACTCCGTGACCCCTGAGTCTACGCAAAGAATACAATAAATAAACCACAAGGCTGAAGCTGAATGATCTGATCTGACTCCTTGTCTCAGGTGGGCACCGCCCGCTACATGGCTCCGGAGGTGCTGGAGTCCAGAGTGAACCTGGAGGACCTGGAGGCCTTCAAACAGATGGACGTCTACTCCATGTCTCTGGTTCACTGGGAGATGGCCTCCCGCTGCCAGGCCATCGGAGGTACGAGCTTCTACAAGTCTCTATATGTCTCTATATATCTTTTAAAAGGCAGTAACCTCAGTCCAGGCTTATTTGCAGCTCAGCTCATGGTACCATTGATGGCGGTACGTTTAATGTTTTCTGGTTCTGTCCCTGTTTAGTGAACGTTATGTTTCAGGAACACCTGGATGGAAGGATTAAACCGTTTAGAGTTTAGGGTGTCAAAGGTCATTTTGACATCACAGACACAGTTTTGGACCTAACTCAATAACATCCAGTTTGGGATATAACTATAATTATCATCTAATTGTGTTTCTGAGGTTTCCAGCCTATCGCAATTCCAAAAGGCTTTAATCCAGACAGCAAAAGAGGTATGCAAAGGATTTTCAGGTAGTTTTAAGTGGCTTTTTACAGATGTGTTCTTAAAGAACGATGCTATTTGAGAGCTGAGATGTACCACAACAGTAAAGTTGAGGGCCGGACAGATTAATGATGAGCTGTAGGTGTCCTTACAGCCGTTAATCTCCAGGGGTTAGGGTCCTTGAACTTTGAAACCCCTCTGTCTTTGTGTAATGTGTGTGTTTATGTGTGTGTTGGTAAAAAGCAAAATACCACAGAACAGATTCTGGTCCTTGAACTCGTTACGTTTTTATTGAAATCTGTCCGGATGTCTTTGGCTCAAGGGCTAAATGGACGTCTCCAAACCTGATGGTCAGTTGTTCAATTTCCAGCTTCACTTTAGCTCTCGGAAGTTCTTTGAAAATAAAAGCTCTTGCAAACTCCAACTAATTTATTATGGAAATATGGCTGGGGTCATTTTAGTGTAAAAACAGGAAAAATAAAAACGGATGCTCGCTAAAGTAAGAAAGATATTGAGGAACGTATTCAGGAACCCTGCCTCCAGACGTCCCGGTATAGCCTTGTATGTTTCAGTTCCTCTGAGAAGTCCCCTTTAACACTTACTCTAATATGTAGAAGCCCACCTGGCAACATGTCACTGGAATCTGTCTCTGTGGCTTTGGGTCGGCCTTACGGTGACTCCCATGTGTGTGTTCATGTGTGTGTTCATGTGTGTGTTGGTGCAGAGGTGAAGAGCTACGAGCCGGCGTTTGGCTCCCAGGTGTGTGAGCAGCCCTGTGTGGACAGCATGAGGGATCTGGTGCTGAGGGACCGAGGACGACCCGACATCCCGACAGCCTGGACCCAGAACCAGGTCAGAGTTATTACACCATTACACACTCTGATTGGAAAGTTCTGCGCTTTGCTATTTCTGGATGGATGACCGATGCTAAGGACGGTCTGATCACATCTGAAACACAGATAGAAAACTAAACTAAAATGGTTTGGGTTATTCAAACCTGCTGGTTTCTTGCTGTTTTAAGTTTGTATCTTCATGGATGAAGCGTCAGCTAAATGAAACGTAGAGGGAGGTGTGTCTAACGTCTAACTCTGTCCTCCAGGGGATGAGCGTCTTCTGCTCCACCATCACTGAGTGCTGGGATCACGACCCCGAGGCCCGGCTGACGGCTCACTGCGTGGTGGAGAGACTCACCGTCCTGGAGGAAGAGGAAGAGGAGGAAGGACAGGAAGGAGAGGAGGTACCGGATAGAGAGGAAGACGTAGAGACAGAAAAGGACTCAGAAAAAGAAGACAATGACCAGCGTCCGTCCTCCTCTTCCTCCTCCTCCTCCTCCCTACAGATCCCTCAGACAGGGGAGGTATCCCATGATTCCCTGGGAAACACTCGGTCTGCGGTGTGAGTGCACATGGATGTATAAAGAGAACTGGAAACAGCGTTGGAGGCGGGACCTCGTTCATTCCTAGTAGAACTGCTCAGTGGCGTGTGAAGACAGAACGTCCTGACGCTCTCCAGAGCAAAGCGCCATAACACGACCCATATGTGGGAAGATTGAGCCATCAGTCCATCCTCTCGAGAGCTCAGATGTTCTTAAGCCCCGCCTCCTGTCATTCAATTCAGATGAGTGGAGAGAGAAAATAACTCTGGATTCAGCTTTTAGTGCAGTTTATAACTTTTATAAACCCAATGATTTAAATAAGGTGTAAGAGCCATTTTAATGCAAGGTCATGTTTGGGTTGAAACAATTGTGTGTTATTCACTGTGTGTGCCATAGGGTGTCGCTGTGCTATTACCTACGGCCATATAAGGTGTGTGTTGTCACAGGATTGGGTGTGTCTGGGCATTTGGTTTTTGACCGCCGCAGCAGTGTGTGAGTACCGCAACGATTGTATGTTCGGGCCTACCGATTCATCATTGAAGACAACAACAACAACAGAGCTATCCACACAGCATGCATGAGAGAAACAAATGCGTCAGTTCCGAGAAAAACGTACGGCCACTTTTGGGGGAAAACAACGCTGTCATTAGTACGGCGGTCAATTCAAATTCTGAAGTTTTTGCCAATCCGATCAGAAATTTAAGAAAACCGTGGATTTTTGGATCTTCAAAGAGCCCGATGG